CGTCTAGTCACCACAGATTCCGTATACCAACGCAGTTAGCACTGTATTTGCAGGTGTGAGCCAAGTTTTTGCACCGCTTCATTGTATACCGCAATTTCTAACACCAAAGTGATCGTTTGTGCCAAGTTCTAGCACCACCAACGTAATTGACTCATTTTCAAAGGCAGGGGAGGGACAACACCAACCGCCTCCCTGGCCATTGGATCCGGCCTGGGGGCACCATTCAGAACCATCTGATCGTTGCAGCAGGAAATCCTTTTAAAAAACATCTTCTTTTTCTCACGTTATTATGCCACACATGTTGCAGCATTTCAAACACAACAGTGCAACAAATCACCGACTAGAACACTTGGGACGCCGCAAAAAACACGACACTGCAACATATGGTCCGTAATATTCGCATCAGAACACACGCGAGCATGTAAGGTCAAACTCAAATGACCATGCTGACCATGAGCTGGAGATCCTCTGCTTCGCTTCAATCTTTTAGGGTAATAAGGTCAAACCCAAATGAATATCCGCTTCCAGACACTGGACATTTATCGAAGGTGGATGTAATAGAAAAAACGAAGGATAGGATGAAATCTAGCATCGCACCAACAAATCAACCAAATGCATAAATCAGTTGATTTGTTTATGCACCAAGCAAATTATACAGTTTGATTCATGGAAACTAGGATTTTGTCAGAGAAAATGCATTGACTGAGGTATTTCACATATGTAATAAAATAGTTATAGTGTCTGCATCCTAGCAAGGAAAAACATAATATAAAACCATTAAAACAATACTCCCTCTGGGAATCAAAAAAGTCTTAAATTAAGTTACCGAGTTAGTATGAAATTAACTGGAAGAATATGTTTTTCTGTGCGTTTGCTCGGCTGAACTGTATAGCCGAAAGGAACGGTGCAGTGCACATCTGTGAATCCTCATAAAAAGGTGTAGCAATTCTAACATGGTGCGACACAGGTAACAAACTCCGTTGCTTTGTTTTGCATGATATAAAAAGCATCGCAATTGACTATTCCTTTTTGTATCACAGTAACTCAATTACACAGTTGCGGGCAATTCAGACTTGGCAACCCAAACAGTCGGCCATGTCTTATTTTTTATGTTTTGATTCAAACGGCAAGGCTATAACTGAACTTGATACAAGGATTGAATTTAAACTTTGCAAGAACTGTGTTGTGCTGGAAAAGTAAATTAGTATCTACAACCTGACTATAAGCTCAAGTTTTAACAACACAATTTGTCACGCAAAAGGTACAATAAAAAGCATGCTACATGCTACAACATAGAAAGAAAGAAACAAGGTTGATCAAGTGCCATACTGACACCTCTTCTATTGTTTCTTTGACTGATGCAACAACGAAAGATAACTTAACTGGCTGGATTGAAAACCACTCCTTATGCATCAACATCTTCCATGAATTCTTCTTCTGTTGATGATTTCTGATGAACCATTGTCACTGCTCCATTTTTTTGAAAGGGGTATTGAGATCTTTTGTTGGCCCAGGTAAGATGGCTGAACTTTAATTGGCTAGATTTTCATTTTTGATATAACTGAATGCTCCTTGTAGATATGAAAAGTGATGAACAGAATTTAAATGTACCATGGTCTATTTTGTAGAGACCAACCTAAGCAACCTTGAATGTACTAACAAAAATGGAAGGTGGAAATACCATGCAAGGGCATGGGCTGAATGGTCAGATTGAATAGTTTGTTCTTTTAACAGGAAATGTCAAGTTCATTAAAAAACTAACAGTATGAAGCAATAAGTCCATAACATGCTTGGGAACCGTTCAAATCATGATGGCATAAAGGCACATGAACAACAGCCACCAATTATCCCCACCATTGCAGAAACTACTACAAATAACTCCTACAAAGCAGCAAATGACTAACGAGCTTACCATACCTACATCATATGTTTGGTGTATGATATCTACTTTCCTCGGAAATTTGTGATAAGATTTGGGCTACCCATCTACTGAGTACTGACAACCACCTGTTGAATCTGATCAGCAACAATCCTTGCCACAACCTCTGGCAAAAACCTCTCAACCATGTCTTCCCTTGCCTTCCTCCCTTTTCTCCTTGCCTCCTCCTGATCACCAAAGACGCGCCTCATCAAAGCTCTCAGATGATCAACTGATGGCTCAGCGCAGAAATGACCCTTGAATGGCCCTTCTGTGACCTCAGTCAGCATGTCCACTTCCAGCGGGTATCCATTCTCTTGAGTCAGGTACTCCGTTGGGCCTGACCAATTCGTCACAATCACTGCCTCACTGGCAGTTCCATGGCCATGGCTTCGACCACCGGCCTGCCCCACCCCTCGCCACGGGAAGGTAGTACAAATGCATCTGCAGCCCTGTACAACCTTGGAAGGTCAGACTGTGGGACATGCTCATCAACCACCCGGACTTGTGCCCATCCTAGCACTGGCTCCTCAATGCTGGAGTTGTTCACAAATCTGTGGATTTTCCCTCCAAAATCTGTGTCAGAGTGGTAGGCATTGGTCAGTAGGTAGAGTACAACATCATCAGCTCCAGAGAACTCCTGCAGGAAGGCTGTCAGAAGCACATCCCAGCCCTTCCTCTGCTCCCATTTGAACATGCTAAGAAACACAAAACCTTTGCCTTTGGAGCTATCAGTATTCTGTGTAGAATCATCAGACGCCATGACAGAGAAACCAATCGGAAGAGGAAAGGCGGCGTGCTTGGCCGGATCAAAGAACGTGACATCGACGGCCTGCACTACCTTGACGACCTTGGAGGGATGGACCCCGCTCTTCACGAATGTGGAGACGTGGAAATCTGTCGGTACCCAGACAGCATCCATCTGGTTACAGCGTCTGACATGCTCCGGCGAGACACGGTCAGTCTCGAACATCGTCCGGCCAATGACGAACGCCGGCTCGTCGTACCCAGTAGGCGGGCAAGGCAGAGACTCGTACATCGGCGGGTACCACGCGCCAGGCTCGCTGTGGCACACAACGACGGCCCGAGAGAGCTCACACTGCGCAGTGGCGAGCCTGTACGCCAAGTTCTTGGACTGCTCGGGCAAGCCCTGCCAGAACTCCGGCGACTCGAGGTCGCCGTGGTGCGCGATTGAGAGAGTGAAGTTCGCACCGACGCCGGCAGTGACATTCTCGTCAAGCGAGGCGACGTAGGACCAGGCCTCGGAGCAGTAGCCGCCGCCGGAGGCGAAAGGGGCCATCCATAGAACACATGGTGGGCGTCCCGCGTCCGACGAGGTATCGGCCGTGGGGACTGGCTCCGGCGGGCTGAGAAGGGAAGACCTCGTTCTGAGGAGCAGATGAACGAGGCGTGGCAGCGGGTTGCTGGAGGTGGCGAAGAGCACGGCGAGGACGAGGGCGAGGAGGGACGGCGCCGTGAGGAGGAGAAGGAGGTGGCGCTTGGCTCTGGGTTTGGGTGCTGGAGGGAGAGCCTGCGCCGGAGGTGAGCCTGGCATGGTAGCCGAGACGGCGGTATGGCACGAGGCCGGCTGCGTCGTGGCTGACCGACGGAGAGCTCAGTCGTCGGCGAGGCAGATCGGCAGGCAGGGGATCCGGATGTTGGTAGCTCAGTGAGAGCATCTCTAACCCTTCCCTCGGAATTTTTATTGAAAACCAATAACTCCCGAACGTTCGGATTTTGAGCATTTCATCCCCAATGATTTTACATGCCAACTTGTTGACAAAAGATGGCAACTTTGTCCTTTTTCATTTTTGTCAGAAAATTACCATATTTTCCTAATCTCACGCAAACTAAATTTGTCATCTAAACCCGTTCGGGTTGCCATGCTTAACTCCCGAACATTCGGGAGTTATCATTACCGTTTTTATTTAACTCGTATATTTCATTAAAAAGTTATTTGAGGGGAATATTTTAGGGATTAAGCGTCATCTAGCAGGTCTCCCTTATTTTTTATGGTAATACGTAGTCACGGAGTTTTATATTTCATGCTCAAATATGGATGCATCGTTTGCCAAAACATCGACAAAAAAATCTGAAGGCTTCGATTGCCAAACAATGGATCGATCACACTGCGCCTTGCTAGCTAAAACGCCTGTCGCCATATTGGCCTCTCTAGGACAATGATTAAAAGTAATAGAAGAACAATTTCGACTAAGGAAAGAACATTCTTCATAGATGGTCGTTGCCTGTCCTAGCGAGCATTACGTCGATCACCTCCATACAATCAGCCTCAAGAAATCACGTTATGGCAGCCAATGGTGCACGCCAAAATCAGGCCATCCTTCAAAGCTCGAGTCTCCGCAGTAGCCGCGTCTTCTACCCATTGCAGATCACTTACAATCTTATAAAGTTTATTACTTCCATAAATATGTTTTCCCCCTAAAACCTTCCTCCAGCCACGGCCATTCTCATGAAAAATAAGGTTGAGCCCCACTGCTTCCAGCCCGCCTCAGCTTTTTGGCCAAACCCCGCCGACCGTCCACTGACCAATGATCGTCAGAATGGAAAAGCCCACCCCTGCCACACCCCTGGCCACCCTCGCCAGCGCCAAAGATCCATCGTCGGCCATGAAATTGACGACTCAAAGGCCGAAATGGTGGTGCTATCGAGAGCTCTCGATCGTAGAAGTGGGCCCCATATTGTGTAGGAGCCATGTAAGGTGGGCACCTCAAGAAGGCGCCTACACCCTATGGGGCCCGCAGGGGTGAAGTCTTGGCGGTCCAGTTCCGTCATGAAACTTCCAGACATATTTTTGCTTGATTTTTCTCTTGACATTTTTTGTGGTGTTTTCTTGAAATACAAAAACAGGAACTGACACTGGGCACTAGATTAATATGTTAGTTCAATAAAAAAATATGTCTAAAGTGTATGTAATTGATAATGATGTACCATGAACCAAAATTATATATATATTCGAGACATATCACAGACTCACAACGCGATATAGTTCAAGTCTAAGATTTGCCCTTTTGAAGATGGATAGATACACTCTGCACCCATCCGGTATTATGGTGTCCAACATAGTCACGCCAGACATAGTGACTAAGGTGTTACTTACGGGGATACCAGAATACGAAAATGAGAACAAAGTACAAATCGGTAACGAGGATGACTAGGCATAATGATCAAGGTATTGATCACGGGGATGACATAAAAATCTCCCCTAGAGTTTTGTAACGTATTGCGACGGAAAGGGGATTGTATAAAATAACACAAGGTTCGCTCGGTAATGATCTTTGTTGATATGTGAAAATTATTATGGGTGTCTAGATCCTGCTAATAATTATTGACTAGATGGTATCCCAAACATGTCCACTTATTCTCGAACTTGCAGGTCACATGTTCAAGGACTAGTGGTATGTAGAAGTACTATGAGATTAGGAGAATGAGAGAAAAGGGCTTCTAAAGTGTTACAGATCATCTCAAAAAGTGTTCATGGAGGTCCCCAAGAATGTAACGGTAATACCCGTGAGCGTCCTGAAAGATCCCCGTATGTTCAGAAAGGTGATGTAAGCTTCCCGAACAATACAGAAGGTTCCTAGGGGGGCTCCCTATTGCCATGGGGGCAAGGCGGCAGCTACCTTATTTATTTGGGAGTAGGCAAATCAAAAGGGAGTCCTAGTTGGACTAGGATTGTCCCGTGTAAGGAGGAGGGACTCCTACAAGGATCGGTCGACCCAAGCCTCCTAGCCACCTATATATCGGTGGACAGGGGCGCACTAGGAGACACACCAAAGCCTCCCACGGCTGCCTTCTTGCTTCTGTGCCCCTCTATTTTTGGTTTAGATCTAGTCTAGATCGGATCGCTACTGGGCTAATTCTCCTTCTATTTCGTCCACCGATTATTCGTGTTGGTTCCACAAAATGTTACGATATTGCTAGTTCGGTACGCGTGGATACCTCAGAAGTGTCATCTCCTTCAACACAAGATCAGTTGGATTCTGGAGAAATTTCTCGCGGCTGAGAGTATAACCAAGCTATGGGAATCGGTGAGCATCACCAACTATTTTTTTGTCTTCTGTTGTGCTGATTGTTGATGAGACCATCATTACCTGTAAAACTCCATAGTGATCATGGGCATGTTCATGCGCTAAGATTTTGCTGCGTAGCACATTCCCCTTCATAACGTCCATGGACAACGCTGGCCTGCCCCCGCCCGAGGAACCACACACCTCATATTCAAAACCTCATTTTTATAGAAACACATAGACGTGTCACAAGGCATCGGTGTGACGAGGTGACGAAATCCGAATTCGTAGGGTCGCCCGGGTTACGAAAAGATGAGTGCGGGAAAACGACGGCATATCGGATCGCCCTAAGACGACGGCCTCAAGGTAGACCAGACCGCAAAACCTGCAGTACGAACAATCATCGACGAGTAGAAAATACTCTTTGAAATATTATTAATTTGCACAATGTGAATAACTAGAACAATTGCACCTGGTGATTTATCCGACAATGTCCAAACTGATGGCGGGTAAGGTGATTATGGACACGGGATGTCCTGGACGGAGTATCTCGAAACTGCGTCGGGTCGACAAGTGTACAACACGGCCGATCTAGATGTGTGGCCGCTTGAGTCCATATCCAGAGATAAGAATAGAAGCTCTCTTTCCGGCTCCTCAGCGATTTGGGCTTCCTGACCGTTGGATTGGGCTGCTTGATGCAATCTGGGCCGTCGGATCGACCCCTGGAACGACCTCGTCCGTCGGATAAAAAAAAGTTACTGCTGGAATGAATAGTTTCACCTCGACCGTGCCACCGCGCGTAAATAGCCTGCCCCGCCGGGGGCATTTTCGTCATTTCACCTAGAGGCGTATAAAAGCTGATGGCTTGCGTGGAGATGACCTAGCAGCCTCCTCCTCCTCCCGCACCCGCGCCCTCCCTCCTCCTCCCGCACCCGCGCCCTCCCTCCTCCTCTCGCACCCGCGCCTCCCTCTCCTCTTCCACTCTCCCCTAGCGCCGCCGCCCTACTTCCCCGTCGCCGCCCGACCTCCTTCTCCTCTTCCTCTCGCCCCTAGCGCCGCCGCCCCTGCCTCCTTCCCCGCCGCTGCCCGGCCTTGGGGAAAGATTTCGACTGCATCCGGAGAGGGAAAGATTTCGAGGGGGAGGAGAAGGGGAGAGCAGAGAAGCTTGGAGGGCGGCGGGCGGCGGCGATGGACGGCGAGTGGTGGAGGAAGAAGTGGGTGGCGTGGGCGGCGGCGGCGGCCATCTTCGTGGTGCTCATGCTCGTCACGCCCGCCATCCCGCAGGACAAGGACTACCACGACTTCGCCGACCAGCGCGTCCTCTTCCTCGGTAACCGACAAACCAACCCCACCCCCCGCTCCCCGTACCACCATCGCCTCCCCTGAATCTTCGCCCCCAGGCCATGCTCTGCCTCTGCCCAGGGCGGGAGGATTTGGGGGCGCGGCTGCAGATTCTGCTATTTTTAGCCTCTAATTAGATTCGTGGTCTGGCGAGTCCAGCGGACACGATTAAAGCTAGATCGGTGAAATTGGGGAGCGAGTGAGGCGCTGGTTTGGCTGAGTCATGCTCCCTTCCTTAGCATGCTTTTTGGTTACTGGCACACCAAGCAAATGCTTCCGATTGGTCGGCGTGATATCTGCTGCTTTGATTGATTATATCAGCTAAATTGGCTGCTAATGCACTTGCTTGGCCGCTCTGCATACCTGATGAAGGATGCTTACGAATGTATGTGACCAGATTCTGCTTTTTTGTTCTCTTAGGTTGGTGATTGATATGATAGAATGAAGTTGCCAAGGGGGATTTGGGGGCAAATGAAGTGTGGATTCAGCTAAAATTAGGCTCTATCCATATGTTGATCTGGTTATCAGTACAGACTACAGAGGGAATGCTTCTGATTTCCAACACTATCTGTTGCTTTGGTTATACTAGCTGTGCATAAAAAATATTATACAAGAATGTGCCACCGGCGATGGGTGCAAACGGCTGTAAATGTGGACGACCACATCTTCATCCCAAGGCAAGGTGTCTCTCCCTCTCACCCGTTCTTCTCCTTGCGCATCTTATCCCCGTCCTCACGCTGCCGCCTCCGTCCCTGTCGCCCCTTCTCTAGAGGCGGGGGCTGGCGCTGGCGTCCACGACCTCACCAAAGCAAGGAAGGAAGGAGGAGCAGGCTCCAGCGTCAGGTGCCTAAGATCGGCACACCTCCTCCCGATGTGAGTTTCAGTTGGAATTATTTTTTGCTGCTGACTGTATGCGTTTGCCGGAATACATCTTTACTTTGTGCGTATTGTGACAGTGTTAAGCGTAAAATACCATTTATTCACAAGAGATGGATTAATAGGCGAATATATACTTGCAGGCACAACAGATCTTGGAATACTACTGCTAATGAATGTTTAATCTCATCTCCACAAAGTTGCTTAGTAGATCTTACTTTTTTGAGAATCTTTGGTCTGATGTATATTTGCAGGTTTATCTAGATGAAAAGGGTCTTTAAATATTAGGCTGATGCTTCAACTAAGCACGTCTCCTTTTTAATCTATAGCGGATATCGTCTAAAACTGCTTTCGTACTGACATGTATTTTCATATGGCCGAACAAATCAACTGCTAGAGGTTTTAGAAACTGTTCAACTATGCATTTTTTGATTACATCTTTTTTGTTCACTTTTTTGGACTTTAACTCCCTGTTGTATGTATGTATATTAATTTTCAGTGGATAAATTTCAAGGGTTTTAACCTTTTCCTTTACACTTCCTAGCGACCCAGACCAGCGCCATGGCAACAAGCTTGCCCCCCTACCCCGACCTTGAAGTTGAGCGGCCGATACCACCATGACTTGGCGGCACAGCTGGTGGAACCGGCGTCCATAAGCGAGCATCGTCCAGATGGCCGCCGCGCTTCCGCTCAGTAGGTACTACTCCCTCTATCTCATCTTTTCATCAGCTAAATGAACACATGTGGTTCGTCCGCCTTTTGTTCTCCTGGATCCAAGAACCCTTCCTTCGTCCCAAATCCAGAACGATATTCCTTTTTTATCTAGATTGGGATTTTAATTAGGAAGATTTTTTCTAGGTAGAGGAGTAGAGCCATCGTTTCCAAGGTTAGTAGTGAGGTGTTGCAGATTAGAGCACCATCGGCAGTTTTTTTAGCACCATGGCAAGGCAGAGGTGCTCCGTGTGCCCGACATCTTCAAAAGAATCATCTCATGCAGTATTCCAAAAATGTAGCATTATGCAAAAGTCTGGTTATGAAAATCATATGAGCTGAGATAACACACTAATCAACTTTCTGCATTAGGTTACTTAGTTGTGAGCTAGAATCTGAAGAAAAGTGAAGCAAGCTAGATACATAAAGATTAGGCACTCCCTGCAACTCCAATACCAAATAGGCAGACAGACATCTTGGCATTCGACAGTAGGAGACGATGAGCTTGAGAAGTGAGATGGTTCTGTTGAAGTAACGGTGCGTTTGGGCAGTCTGGCCGTTGACCATTGCATCCATATGTGGGGTAGGCTGGTCCTGTCTCAGCAGATTAGAGTAATAAATTGATTGTCATTCTCTACTTTGTATTTGTATTTTTTTATGAGATTGATCCAAGAAAGAATGACATGTATGCAATACTCACTAAATTGTAGGGCTGTATAGCAAGGCTTATAGTCTCGAATTATTATTGTAGATTGTCTTATTTTATAAAGTATTTTGTTTAGTGAATATATATTCCAAAATTTCTCACGTACTTTGTTTGTAGAGGAGAAACGACCTGATTGCAGGACACTAAAATATTATTGGTTGTCAAAGCTCCGCGGTCGCTTACACATGTATATTATCCATGTAGTCTGGGTTATCTAGGATCAATTACAAAAAGGCAGTTGGATATTTTTTATAATGGTGACATATTTTCTTAATTTAATATACTTCCATCTCACTATGTTGATTTATTCATGCTATTTTGACGAGGATGGCATCGATGTCAGTTCATGGCTATGCAAGGCATCAGTGCTTGATGATTCGTCATAGAGTGATGTGTTACTCATTGGCGACTTAATTTGCAGCGGAAGCAGATGCAGTAAACTCTGAAAACTAGATTATGTTTGCTCATATGACACGAACACAATGGGATTTTTTCTGAGGGAGTTGATCATGCTTGCCTTTCCCTGAGCTCCAGCTATTCACGCTACTGCCTTAATTTCAAAAGGGTACAATATTATTTTCAGTCTGTATACCTTTATGTAGTGTTGTAGCTTGCTTTATTTGAAATTTTAGTGTTCATGTTAACAATCACTAAAAATGATACAATTATGGATGTAGGTTTCTATTGAAACAATCACTAAAATGATAAATATGCAAGTGGTGACAGATTGTTGTTACCATGTGGATCTTAAGTTCCACCATTTCCTAATTTTGCTCTCCTGTCCGCCTCTAGGTTTCTCGGCAAGGCGACGGTGTGCGAACCATGTGCGCCTGCCTAGCTGTATTGCGGCTCGCGGATGCGGCAGATGTGGCACATGAGCAGATGAAAGAGGAGTAACTGAAGCCCCAATGCCTCCACACATTCTTGCTCCCTAACAATGGGAGTAATAGGTTGCAAACTCCTTTCCCTTCCCTTATATTTACAATATGATGATGACTATATGATGATAGTGTGGTTATAAAGGTGAAATGCCACCACAATGTTTCAGAGGCTCACATCTGTCAGTACTCATTAGATAGAACTTGTGTTGCAGTTTTTGTTATGTGCTTCTCTAAATTCTCTGTTGTCCATCGTCTATCTCTCCTGCATAGCTAGCCCGGTGCCATGTCAGAAGTTAAACCAAAACTTTTAAGATGCTTGTGTAGCAAAATGCGTTTGGAGAAGCTCATTTATCTTTCAGTTACTCTGTATAAAGTGTAATATTCTATTTGGTTTTGATTACCGGCGATGTCTAATTCTCCAGGCTTCTTAAAAATGATGGCTATGCCCAACCTGCTCATACTAATCAATAATAACATCTCAGTTGTATCCAGTATTTCCTATTCATTGGTTATAACAATTGACTTGTGTGTAGGATTCGTCTCAGTATATATTCTGGGATAAACAATGGTTTGGCGATGCTATTAGTTCATGAAAAGTTCAAGGAGGATTTTTGATATTATTTTATTGTTAACGAGTCATGCCAGTAAGCTTTATGTATTTGTTCGCCGTGGGGAGCAATGGGGCATTGCACACTTACCTATGTACTCTCTCCGTAAAGAAATATAAGAGCGTGTAGATCACTAAAGTAGTGATCTAAATGCTCTTATATTTCTTTACAGAGGGTGTATATTGCTACCTGGTTATGTTGGTCTTTCGTATACAGGCCTTGCTATCATTATGTATGGTCCTTCTTGCCTTATGTGTATTATGAATGGTATTTCAACCTGTGGAATGTACTCCTAATCCTGGTCTATAGAACTGCCTTTCTGAACTTGATGTCTCAGTTGTACTCGAACAAGAGCACACGGAGGGAGCTCTTCTACGCCACCCCGGCAACAGGAACAAGGAAAATCCAGTCCACGGTGCCACCAATGAACAAGGTAAACATGAGTTGTCGGTCACTTATAAATTCCGTACTTCTGTAATGTCGATCTAGGATTCATGTGAGTAAATCTTACTATTCTTTGGGTCGTGTACAAAAATATTGTTCGGGTTTCAGTAGTAGCTGCAGTTCTATTGTTGTGAAAGCCTCATGGTCCATTAGAACACCCATTTTAGATAGAATACTCCAGATCTATTGACTGTGATTTAGTTGTGGCATTGATTTGTATTTGGTCGAATACTCACCTAATGAATCTATTAAACGATCTAAATACCACCGATTCACATATTAGCTTGTGCCACCGTTGATTCTTTACTTATCGTGTTATTCTTATTTTTGAGCTTGCAGGCCTTGCACATTCTATTGCCAAATATATTATACATATCTACTAATCGTTTGTCGTCTCAGGCACAGAGCATGAGGTGTTTGCACCAATTGCTTTCTTCACACCACGGCCATGGCTTTGATCGTCGATGGACGTCACCAATCACCTATTCTAACTCTGGCAAGTACCCGATGATATATGATGCCACTAGCTCTTGTGATGTACCATGTAAACAACAGTGTGATCTCCCTCTTCTTTTGTGAACACGGCCTGGCGCGTCTATCCATCCTTTTGTACTCAATATCTACCTTGTACGAACATTGCATGAATGGACATTGCATCCTTCAATTTACCATGTATGAACATTTGCATCCTTTAAATGTGTTTACTATCGTTCTGGTCGCTATGGAGATGTGTTGTACTATATATCATTCTGGTATCCATCGATGATGTCTTGCCCCTATTACATGTGAATGTTTGTTTGTTATCCTATTTGAATACGTACGCTAAGCCTGACTTCCTACTAACTTGAGCATTACTTGCTTGGCCAGATCGTTGGGACCGGCATCCTCGCGCCAAGGCGCGCTGCCGATCTAGTCGTGTATGGCTGTGGGACGCGTGGGGCGGCAGCAGCCCTGACGGCTGGGAGTCAGTGCCGCAGGAGAGCAGCAAAAGACTGATCCGGGACCTACAAATCCGAGGACAATGTGGAGACGCACGCGTGGGGCGGCAGCAGCCCTGACGGCTGGGAGTCAGTGCCGCAGGAGAGCAGCAAAAGACTGATCCGGGACCTACAAATCCGAGGACAATGTGGAGACGCTGGCGCCTTGTTTTTCCCTTGACGTTATGTGCAAAACCAGCTCAACCTTTAATCAATCAAACCTTGAAAAATGTGCTGCAAATTAGTACAAGTATACTAGTGGTACTAGTACATTAGTATTTGTCTTAGGGCCTGTTTGGTTCCAAATAAGTCACCAACTTATAAGTCGAAAAGTGGAAAAAGTGATTTATTTTGTCAAATAGACCTGACTTATAAGTCATCCCAACTTATAAGTCATAAGTTGCTCCACCCCAACTTAAAACTTATAAGTCACCTCCTTTTGCATGGTTCCCATAACATGCATGATGTGGATTGGTGTGGGAAGGTGTGTCAGGTGACTTATAAGTCAGGTGACAACCAAACAGGCATGACTTATAAGTCATTGGTTTTAAGTCACCTGACTTATAAGTCAGGTGACTTATTGGAACCAAATAGGCTTTTATGCATGTTTGGTCGAAAGTAGTACTAGATGACAAGCAAACACTAGCAGAGTAAAGAAAGGGAAAGAAAAGGAAGAGAGCCTCCCTGTTGCTGCCGATCTGGGCGCCTGTCGGCTGGTCTGCCTCTGTCGCACTACATGGGTAGTACGGGCGCACCTCCTTGGCTGGGCCTGCTGATTAAATTGCCCTTCTTTGTTAATTTCGGGGTTGACCCAGTAGCAAGTCCGCCATCTATGCTGCTATTTACGAGCGCGTTGCGCTAGCCCGGATCCGACATACCACCAGAGAGCCCGGATTCGATCTGATTGCAAACAAATAGCACAACGCGGCAGCGACGATTTTGCAGGAGAGAAGATTTACATGAAATAGATCTGACTGAAAAAATATCACCTGATCATCCCATCGATCCGCGGCGATCACCCAACAGGCTCTCAATGAAAGCATCAATGTCGGTTCAATATCCGGCGTATCTCGTAGTAAGGGTCCTAAGCTAGGCGTCTTGGAGCGATGGTAACATGGACACGGGGTTTTACCCAACTTCGGGCTCTCTTGATGAGATAATACCCTACATGCTGCTTTTGATTGGTATTCATACGGGTGTAGTACAAAGTACATGTATCTACCACGAGATCGTAGAGGCTAAACCCTAGAAGCTAGCCTATGATTATGATTGTTTATTGACTAGCCTGGCCTCGGTTTATGTAAGACACCGGAGGCCTAGGGTTTAGGAGAGTCCTTGTCTTGGGCGCCAAGTCTTGTGGAGTCTTCCTT